CCCACATTGTGGAAAACGCATATATTTAATGTCTAATTTAATTCCGAAATTTATTTCTGCACTGGCGATTAGGAGCGTTTGTTTCCGTCTGTAAAGTGAAACCCCACGTACGAAGCGCGGTCTCCATCGAGCAAATGGTAGAAGGAAATCGCCGCCAGTATGTATGCCTATCCACAATAATTTAGGCACCTACTTTGTTGCAAAGTGAGGCACAATTTGAAGGTATTTTTGAGACCAATTTCGCGAAACCCTCTTCGTTTGTCTGGTGGGTTCAAATTATTTTTGCGCGCCTGAATACTTGTTTCAGCACCATTGGGCAACTGGTCAGATAAGCTTCCCTTTACATTCTTCAGGGATGTCGAGAAATTTGTTTGCTCAGCCTTAGGCAGGTCGTTCCGGAGCATTAGGAGAATGCAATTTGCTCCCGGGACATTGAAATAGTATTTTCAACCATTTTTGAAAGAACAATTGTGGCTGAAAGTGCAAAACAAAACAACCTGGAGTAAAGCGGATATGTTCACAGTGGGTGCCATGGGTTTCTTACGCCTTTCTAAATCGATTATTTATTATCCTCTGCAATTTTGTTGGAAGCCTATATGACATATATATGGTACAGGCCACTCCATTTGTGTTCATACTTACACTTGCTGACATGAGTTGTGAGATAAATTTACTATTTCCATGTGGTTGGTTACTGAGGTTGGGTGTAGATAGAACACAAACCAGTCTGGCTTGAAATGTCTTATTTTGATATGGTATACAGGTATGTCGTTTCATTTCTATCTTAGGGGTGCTCACGATCTCCCGATCGTTTATTATGGACATACGTTTTCTTGGATTCAGGCCACCAACTTTATCTTTTCCTTCATTTATTTTACAACCACGCTGTACCGTCACTACTGAATAGCACTGGCATGCGTTATTAGTTTATTGTCGTTGAGCATATCGGTTTCGGCCCAGTTTGCCTGATGTTTGAATAGCATACGACCCGATCGTGTCATTCTTCAGCAACTTTTCCATGATGCTTTGTTCCCTATTAATGTTTGATTGCGCACTTACCGTTGGATATAAAATCACCTCCTTGTCAATCAGGTCAACTCTGTGTAGGCAGATCGGTGAGATGTGAAAGACATTTGCAGTTACAAAAACCTGGTTGTGAGCAGATCATGTTATTTTCATGTGCGCCCGATTAGGCAATGAACTCGGCCTGAATTGGTGAGCGTCGAGTAGTAGGTGGTCAAGATGGTCGTAAGCTTTCGGTTGACCCAAATATTACTTTGTGGGCTGGCGGCAAGCGTAACTAGCAGGCCAAAATAAACGGCTGGTTACGTGATAAAACAAAAAGCTCTATAAAAATGCATCCTATGAGAGAAAAATAATCCGATTGTATGATGTACCCACATACTTTCAAATATACACCAGGGGGCAACGGGACGCTCTGTTCACCGGTTTGCTTATCATGGATCCAGTATAATAACTTGGGCGAAACGATTTAATTGTGTTTTTCTTCTGAAAATTCAGCGCTAATTTGTGTCACCTGTGCGCCAAACACTTTGGAGTAGAGCAGGTTTTGTGTGGTCCTACACAAATTGTGCACCTCACACAAAACTGAGTAGCAACGTCTCCGGTCGCCATTACCATTTTTGAACAAAATCATTAGAGTTATTTGCAGTTCTTTTGTTTGTTTCTACCGTGTGTTCCACCTTCATCGATGCATCACCCAAAACTGTACAACAGTTGATGAAATTTATTAGCATTGGTACTTCAGTTGTTGGATTACCGAAAAGCCGAATAAAAAGCGACTATTCTATGAAGTGGTTAGCATCCAAGTGACCGTAAGTCAGTTTTCAAAAGGTAGCACACTCTTTTATCACGGTACGCATTATGGGATAAAATCCACAAATCTAAGAACTAACCGGGACCTTGGTGAGTGTGTTATCGATCTGTGGTTGCCATGATTAAAGCTTAAGAAAGACAGTGCAACTTCTGCCGTAGTCCCCTGCGACCGCTATTTTTTGCGGGAGAATGCGTGTTAGTCGTTTTGTAAGGTGAATCGATAAAACCAGTGCTGGAATAAATCATTGAAGATTAAGTACTCAAGGGTTTGTTATAAACGATTTGAGTGTCGAACGCCTCGTGCTGTTCTTCTCGTAGTGCATTATGTTGACGTAGTCTACAGACGTAGTCTACAAGAGCAGTCTCCAAAAACAAATGGTGCTTGGGTGGTTTAGTACACCGGTGTATAAATTGTGCATCCTTGGGACTCAAAAAAAACGCGGGCTAGTCTTCCAGTATTCCGCGTTGTGTACGCACCTTTGTAAACATTTCAGTTTCACCTGCTATTTACTACAGGTCTACTGGGGCTTGCAGTAATTTGTGCGAAGATTTAGACAGGAAACTCTACCACTGAGTTTTTACCCGTTTTATGTAATTATTTGTGTTCGCGTAATACAACCTTTTATTAAGAAAAATTCAAGGTTCTGCAATTCTTGGCGTGCAATTTTGCGCCTCATAAAAATGAAGTTGCCAGAACGCGCCAACTATTCCACATCCTGAATGTGTTGAACCAGAGTCCGCTCGCTATTAATTGATACTATATCAGATCCGCCGCGGTTTAACTTTTTTTCAAGAAAAAATTTGTTTACATCACAGAGATGAAGCATTATGCAGCCTGCGTTTATCAAATTTAGTTGTACAACGTCATAATCAAAATACCAAGATGAAATTCAACTAAGACTCGTTTATATCAGATCAGAGTGCATGTGAGTATTTCCACCATTCAAAGAAGCCTGACAATACATTTGTCCTCTATGATTCTTCTAACCCTAAACAAACTAGCAAGGGACTATTGGTCGAACGAGACGATTTTTTGGATGATCAGGGGTGCAGTTAGTTAAAAGATGCAAGCGAACTCATGAATGTGAAGGAACTGTTGGTGGCATTCCAGTCAACCATGTATTTTTGGTTACAACCAGTTTGCGGTGATCCCATGCTGGAATGGATACTTCCGCGCGTTTGGTGCTCATGCACTTAAACACATCTAATCTATGTAAGATGCTATGGCCATTTAAATTTTACACTGTAGTGATAAAACTCGTTGGCGCTGCGAATGGCTGCCACATTTTAAACTTTCTGCAGCTACATTCCTGAAAGGCTCGTAAGTGTAAGATCTATTGCAGATAAATGGATGAAACAAAATTTGGTTAACATATGGTGGAGCGAATATTGGGCAAAACATTACCGAAAAATTTTTCAGATATCCAGGGAAGGCGCAATATGCATGTGTGTAAGATGACAATTTTCGTCTGCTTCTTAAGTCGGAACTCTCGAAGGACCAAGTATCGCTGGGAACGGGGAGAAAAATTTGGCAATTGACTCTGTGGTTAACGAACGCCGCGCAAGAGGCGCACGATAGGAGACTAATCCGCATTCATTCATTCATTCTCATTTAGTAACTTCGATCCGTGAAGTTGTGTTAAATGACCACCAAATTTTGTGCAACAAAGATGCACGCCTCTAGGTAAATAACTTACCGCTGTTTAATACAATTTTGGTTTCTAGGTCCCTAATTTAGAATAGACAACTCCAAGCTATCAAAATGGGAATGAAATCATTTATCAGGAGCTATAGCAATTCTTGCCAGACGTTTTATTACGCTGGCAATGATGTGGAATGTAGGTATCTCGGGTACGCTGCTCTCACCCACTCAACCCTGCACTGGAGATGTCACCTGGATTGGTGATGAAATGGTGACTCTCAGTTTCTTTCATCAAAATACTTGGCTAGCATTCACATATATCCCGGAATAATGTGGGTCGCTGAACCAGCAAAATATCTTATTCAAATATGACAAACGAAAAGACGAATATACGCAGTCATCGCGAATTTGATTAAAGTTATTTAAGAGGCCCAGGTACTCGATCAGGCCTCACACGTTCAAGAATGACTGCCAAATTTAGCCTTTGATAATAATAAGGCTTCTTCCGGGGAATGATATATTTAAATGGACAGAAATATCCAATCTTGTTCAGAGAGGAAGAATTTATTACTTGACCTTCGTTGCTAAGGTCGCTTTTAATCTAAATGTTCCGTTTTGAGGGCGCCTCAACGTTTGGTCCATGTGTCACCCCGAAAGTAATTGCCTCAGTGTTTTCATCAGGGTCGAAATTCATCGAAACCAAGCAAAGCTGTCTCCTGAAGGGACACTCCAAACAAGCTTCACGCAAAGTGTAATCCCCCACGCACTTTCGTCAAGCTTCGAAACTAAAAGCGACGTGTCAGTGTTGGTGTTCAAATAGAATCCACGGTTGAATCGAGAATATCTGGCGACGATGCGGAGGCAGGTTAGCCAAACTTAACGAATGCTTCTTTTAAACGACTCGCCAACCCTCTGATGCACATTACTGGTTAGCCTTTGCGTTCGTGCTAGAGTTGCAGTCAACCACCTGGTATGTATACTACCAACAAGAATATTGCTTTGATTCGCATTCACTCAGGTTTTCATGTCTTTTGCGTAAGTTGGTCTACATCAACCGATTTCGCTAAAAGACGATCTTTGGTCACCGTCGTGTGCGTTATATGTAGGACATGGGACACAGAGCAAAATTTACTGACAGGTTGTTTCAACAGGCAATGAGTGTGAAGATTCCGTAGCGTTTCCGTGAACAAGATTAACATTTTATAGTTCAGACCATTGTCTTCATGTTACCTAGTGCAGGGCACATCAATAGAGGTATGGGTGGATCAAATCGAGCTACTTTATTGTTCGCATTTTGATGTATTTTTCTAAGCCTCTCACTGGATGTCCTTGAATGCTGAATTGCTCTGAATTATGTGGTGCGTGAGGTATTTCCAAATGTGAACTGATTTAATTGTACTCAAATCCATGGAAGAAGACACGCGCATGATGGAATTTGAGGAATAAATGAAGAAGGTTTGTCAATTATTTTAATCATGTAGTTGAGCTTGAAAAACTCAAGTTGGCCTGCGCATTCAAAGGGATGTCGCTATATAAATTGAAGGGCCTATGGCTCAAATTGGACACTATGCATCTACCAGTCATTGTGCTATTTAGCGCGGCATTTTATGTACCGTGTCTCCCATACAGTATAAGCTACACGGACTGCGGTAGGTCTACTGGGATATTGCTTATATTCAAATAGTCACGGATGCACTTCAGTGGGATTACTCTTTATAATCTTCCCTTTAGCAATAACGTTTCTGGCTCTTAGACGCACATCTAAGATGGGTGTTAGCTGCAGTTCAAATTCGCCTTCTCCATTCTGCTTCTTTACAGGTTCAGTCGATATCACTGTGATATCAGTAAGCATTGAACCTTGCGACCGTGAACCTTGCACGCTCATCAGGGGAACAACTGTTTCCGTCGTAATCAGATTCATGGCGCGTAAGCACTTCGTCAAATTATACTACATCTATTATTCATTGTGTGTTTCCCAGTACCCGAGAGATGAACATCATTCGTGGGCCTGTTTTCTTTGCATGCCATCCACTTTAAAAATTTAATCTGCCTGTTTGTATACTTTCGATTTTGGTGCCCTTTTTGGCGTGAAGGAGATAGACCAAGTAGTGGTATCATAAAGACTGTCCGAAATATTTGCCTTTTTTCCGCTGTTTTGTGCTCCCACTCATCTGTCGGATAACATGCAAACATAGAGTTAACATTCCGAGTTCACGTTTTCTCTTTGTCCCGTCTCATTCTAATGGATGGTATATCTTATTCACTCTCGTTTATCTCAAAACAGTTGAAAGAATATATGCTGGAGGATCCACTATCCAAGGTGTATTTCCTGCTGGACCAATACGGGTACCCTTGCAGGTTAACGGTGTTTGCGCCCAATTGGTTCCACCATGTCCCATAGAAGTCGGGGAAGTGTACACCTACGAAGTCACAGACCGGGTGCCGGACACCCTTCCGCCGGTAAGTCCAAAAGGGTTTTATTATAACTAGCAGCACTTACGCTTGAACACCCACTGATATTTTATTACTACGGTCACATTTCGTCCTCAATTTTACGCTTCTTGATGAATTTACCTAGACCGCATGCTTGTGTCGCATGTGCACATTTGTAAAACAACACATTTTCAGAAGCGATATAGCCGTTCGGGCTTATCGGATAATAAAGAGAAGTCAGAAGCGTAAGGATTAAGATGAAATTACCAAGGTTATGGACTATTCAGTATTCTTAAGCCATTTCCTCAGTCTTTTTTACATTCATCGATTTCCTAGAAGCTTTTCACCTAGACACACCGCAAAGCAGCTCACTACATCAGTGTGCTTTTTGCAGAGACCGATTTCGATGCCGTTTTGAGATGTAACCAGTGTTTAAGCGAGCGTTAAACCCAATATTTATTTGTTCTTCAGTATTCGCCACCTGCTTATAATCCACGTTTTCTTGTAGGGCTTACTGACGATACGGTGGGAACTGCTGAATGACAATGGCACACCGTTTCTCTGCATTGAGTTTCCCGTGGTGGTTGCAGTTGCCGCAAAGTGACTCTGTCAAAACAAGAATTGATTTTCACATGTTTGCGTCATACAACCTCGGTGCAAATTTGTTCGGTTGCTTTGAGTAATTTAGGTTGGTGATATTTAGTATTGTAGACATTTGTGCACGTCAGAGCTTCTACCGTCAGAGGCTCATGCTCCATAAGGGTTGGTAATACAGCTTCCAAAATCATTGCAATGAACCAAATCTTGTCCAACCATTCCGGTTAACTAAAAATAAATATCTTGATATTTGGGCGATCAAAAATTTATTCATTCACATAAGGTCTTTAAATCATTACACATCTGCCCTATTTGTTCTATAATGTTTGAAAATTTCCTCCGGGAATAAAGTCTTAGCTTTCTCTCTAAATGCTACGACACGTTTACTCACGCAAACAGTGAACCAAAGCTTCTAAAATACCCTTAACAAAATGATAATGCTTTCCGGTTCGTCAGAAACGAAGTGGTTTGTTTCATTTTATGCACGTATTTGTTTCTATCTGGTGATTTTTAGTCTATTTTGCACTACTATGGACTGGACACCATGTCTCAATTTTTTTATATCGGCCTAAAGAGCATCAAGAATTGATAGATTATTGATTTGCACGATAAAAATATTTCACAGTTGTCATTCAAAGGCACACAACAAACCGTTTTATTCATACAATTTGGATATGCTGTTCATCCACTACATTTGACTTTGTAAGCGTTTTGTTCAGTAAAGTTTTTGAGGCCTCTTGCTGTACAAACTACTAAGCACAGAAATAGGCATCTTTTAGCAGTGCGAAACCGAGCAGAACAATTCAGCAGAGGCTGCTGCTTAAGAGGCTGCAAAGATAAGATCAGGGCTATTTCTCATCAAGGTTTGGAGGCTTGCATTCGCTATGCCAAAAGGTATCTACTCAAGCAAAATACAGTGAATAGTACACCGATATGGCTCTGAGGGTGACCCTGGATCTCTCATCTCCGGTGTGTTTGGGCAGCTGAAATTGCTGCATTAAGTCACCTCATGTTTCAGCTTGCACGAGTGTGGCTCGTTATGTAGACGGAACACGCAAACTACATATAACCCCCCAACGACAACAAGCGCAGGCCATTCGAATAAATTCTACACAACCTAGTCATGCAGAGTTGGCTTGTCTCCCAATTAGGAAAACCAAATGGGGTTCAGTGTGATTTATTGATCTGAAAAACCAAGTAGATTTGCGAGTTGTGTATATGTTGTATTTTCATGCCGTATAGTCCCATATTTCGGCTTGTTCAGAAGAAAGATGCCCATTGCTAGCCGCGTTTTATAGGAACGAACATTGTTTTTGGTAGTGTTGCCGTCTTCATGACGTTTACGCATTAACTCTGGGCTCATTGTGAGCAGCCGTTTTTGCGAATTTAGTCAGCATATTGGAAGAGCTACTTTATAGCCGAATGCTTTTCATTACATTTCTTCATAGACTTAGGTTTCCTTCATTCATAGTCAACTTTGCCAATGTTGTAAGAGACCAAATATTCAAAAAGATCTTAAAAAGAGATTTTGGTATCTCTAGCTTATGAAGTGCTTGTGTACAGCGCCTGATCAGGATATTTGATGGTGACGTTTTTTACATAATCGAACTTAACTGGAAGGGAATGCATGTTGCATATTGCCCAGAAACTACTTTATATATAGGGCTGAATAGACTGTGAGTTACTTTATATCACAATTTATATAATAACTTAACTCGATCATTATGTGTGGAAACTTTGATATTTCTGGTAGCTTTTGATGGATGGATCACTTTTCTACATAAATCTACTGTCAAAAGGGTGATTCCATTTTAAGAAGAGGAGTGGTTATTCTATTCTGCCCAGGACCAATTGCATAGCTGACTCTTTGGTGCCACACACTGGAAGTGAAAACATTGATTATAAATATAACTAAAGAAATTTGCACAGGTCAATAAGAGACCGTATAAAAAAGAATCACAAGTTTGTTGGAACTTTTTGAACAGAAATTTTCAGGGCTCATTACGTAGAGTCCCTGAGTTTCCGCTTAAACCATGATATACTCGAATCGACATTGTACGGAATATGACGTACACAATTAAAACGGTCCGCTCACCGGGGACCCAGCAGAATATGATTGCGAGTATAATGAACAAGTAAACCTACCGGATTTCAGAGGAGACTACCGTCAAAATCAGTTGTGTTCTTCTACAAATGTAGCGTTTTACCTACACACTACTTTAAACAATTGGTGTGATTGGTGGTGGGCAGTTTATTCGCTTGTACCTTCGCACCCAGTTTACGCACATGAGCGGATGCACTGGAGTCGTCATATAAAGTGTACATTCCTTCGGTGTCGTACCTGGATTTTTGCAAGTAACTCATTTCCCTATCAGGCAGAACTAACACACGTCAATGTCATTACCGAAACCCTTTGCAAATCAAGTAAGGTTTCCTTTCTGCATAATAATAAAGTCAATGATATTGTTTTAAATTCATATCAATAAAGTCAACTTACGGCTTGTGCGCTGAAAGAAGCCTGAAAGCTGACTTGTTGAATCTCCAAACAAAAATTCACACTAGTTGGTCTCCACCGGACAAAATTAGTGACTGTTAAAGAAGGAAGAAAGGCTACCTCCGCCATTACCTCGTGCAAATCATTATTCATTTCATATTGTAACCCGAATAAAGTGGCCAAATACGGCTTCACGACGTCGTAAACATGTCTAAAGTTTATTCTGAATTTTCACCGGTTTAGAATAAGTAAGGCATTTAGGAAAGCTCATTCGAATGACTCGCAAAGTCACAACTCACGAATTGTAAACTCCAAGAATTATCAATAAGTTACAGGATTGCACAAAAGTATACTTATGTCAACCCCACAATAGATATATCTCCGTCTCGGGTGTTACAGGGATTGAGAATTTGCCACGGGCAGCCTCAAGAAAGGGCCATGGAATCAATGCACCCGGAGGAAATGGAAAATTAATTGCAACCTGCAAGGAGCGTGCGCGCACAGCTGATGTTATCACAAGTTTTCCATAGAGGAGAGTGCTGTTAGCTCAGGTAGTGTAGATGGTCGTTTGCTTGTTCGCTGAGCTGGACAGTTCGGTTGAAAACGTTTCATCACCAATCGAGGTGCCATCAACACAAGTGGTAATAATGCGCCTAAAGTGTTCCGAAAGATCCACTCCGTATTTGCGTCATAAAAAGTTTCAGACAGATTGTAGCTCCATAAAAATTAGTCTTAACCCAGCACACGGTTTCATGGATGTAGGTGTGAAGAATACACAACGGAAATGTATACTGATTCGTGCATCAATTCCACAGTTGCATACAAGTGAAATTCGAACGCTTTACGGTCTTTGAACCAGATCGAGTTAAAAGTCTAAAAAATGACCGCACGAAGCCACCAACCTTATTGCTTATTCATTATTATTCATTGCAAGGAAACACCAAGGCTCAACCAATGCAATTGGAAGCAAAACTTTAGGGGAAATCCAGGTCCATTTAAGTGTCTTATGAGCAGCTCACAGTCTATTCTTTGAACCAGCAGGCTGGTTGACGCGCTGTATGCTCACTGAACTTCTATCGCTACGAGCGAAAGGCAAACAACTAGAGGTTTTAAAGATTTTTGGAGTGTTGAGCTTATTATGCTTACCTTGAAGGCTGTACGCAAAGTGAAAAGTGAGGGCATAAGTCCTTTTATTAATCCGTAGAATAAATGGTGTATGCCAAATGCCCCCAGTTCATATCAGCTGGAAACAGTCGACAGAAAATGCATTTCGTTCTTTTAATTCTAGGCTCTCCGCATACCACCACCCTTATACCACGGTAGGATACATCACCAAACTCGACCAGTTTTGGGTATGCTTACGTGCAAAGCCATGACTCCTTTTCAGTTTATCCATACAAATTTGATGAGAAACTCTTCAGATTTGGCGGAATTAAGGTGCTAATGTGTCGGCATACTTCCGAGTACTTCCAAAAACTCTACGGATATTTGATAACATCATGAAATTCATGTCGACTATTGGAATTAAAGGGGTTTACACGGAATACCATCCGTCAGCTTTGAATCAGTCGCATTTCTTACTGTTAAAAACCAAGGGTCATTTTAAAAATAATGGAGTTGCTGAATCGCCTTATTTCAGGTGCGTATCGGTCTAGGTAATAAACTCCTACAATGTATCACAGCAATCTAAAAATAAAGCTCAATGATTGCTCCCACTAAGCAAGCAACACCAAACGCTTTTTCACCCTAGAGCAGACAATTACCTGACAGAGGCCCCCAGAAATTATTTTCGAAAACTTAACTCGGGATTTTATGTTTGCCGGCATTGTGTTCTTTACGTTTTGTGTATTGGCACCAAAATGAATGAATCAATTTTCAGATGCATCCTTAGATTGTCTGAAAGTACAAACGGCTGACGTCGTTTTAATGCATCAATGAATCGACAACAGAGATACTCTCACTAGTATGCGGATAGCTCTTCATAGGCCCCCATCGACATGAAACAACCAATGACTTAGAGATGAAATATAATATGGTTTTACTTTATGCACTCCTGTGAGTCTTCCAATAATTTGCGTCAACTTGGTATAGCGCAGTTAATTTAAAGCCAAATACACATGGAAAATCATCATTGACCAACACTTGTGAAGAGATCAAATAATACTACTCTAGTCTAGGATAAAACTTAGTTCCGAGCAGCAGAATTCAGAGTAATTGCGACTCCATAACATCGATCTACTGTCTTTTTGGTGAAGTCCAACTAAGTCCTGAGATCCACTGACCGAAATGACGGTTGACAATTCAAGTGTTGATAGCTGTGATGAGCACGCGGGCTTAAAGATTTATCCCTTATGTCCTAAGCACAGCCAACAAATATGAACATAAATTGTGCCAATCCAACTAGGGTATAGAAAATAAATTTATTCTTCGACAACACTTGGTTACTTGCAATCATTTTCTATTGAACAAGTGCTCCCTAATGTGATAAAAGCATCGCTATTTTCACTTTCTTG